AGAAGCACAGAAGTTAAGTACTACAGACTTGACAGTTGTAGGTAGGTAACTGTAATGACATCTGTCAAACTTTAGGTCATTGTGGCCCAGTGTGTCCAAGACAAACTGCCTGGTTAGATACAATATCCTATGACACTGGTGTTCTTTCACCTGCATCTCTTAGGTTGTAGATTTAATGTCTTGGTTGCATCTTTTTCTTCTTGCGGTCCATCTTTGTGTTCCTCTGCTCCGTGTTGATCTGGAGAATGGTCTATTGAAGCCCTTACTGCTGCTTTCTCCAATGTTGGAGCAGCCTACTCCGAATTCAGCACTCATAACTGGCACTGTTTGTTTACCAGGGTTTCCTCTGGCAATCTCTGTTGCCCAAGTAATACCAGCAGCTTCATGTCACTCTTGGGAGTTTCACTACTCACTGTTCAAAAAAGTAAGTTTCTCAATGCTAGCAGTCACAACTCTGTGTCATTGGTTGATCAAATGAGCATTATTCTCTTAAGTATGCTGACTAGTAGCCCTCATGGCTTGTTGCTGTGTTTATGACAGTTGCACACTGATGTGACCCAGACATTGTGTTTTTTCTGTGCCTGCCGATGAAAATTTCAAACTACTCCTCTGAGGTTGGTTAAGGAGCTCAACAGTTTGTTAGTTGGAAGTGCGTAGTTTTCCATGTTTGAAAACTGTCATATTTTGGGGAATTGGAATCTGGTGGCGCTCTACAGGAGTGCAATTTGCAATTCCTCTCCACACTGGCGCTCAGGCCCATTGGCAAACTGAGCATCCAGCCCACAGTGTTTCTCCTCTTGTCCAGCTGCATTACCCATGCTAGCAGCTTCAATTCTTCACTATGGATCCCTTACTCTAACCTGATATTCACTTTGCCATAACTTACATTGCAGCAATATTGTTTACTGTAGCTTGTGTTCTAGATAAAGCCTGTTTTGAAGAAGAACAGGTTATTGGTACTGTGGTGATCTGTACACAAGTCTCTGTGCTGTCCTGTTGCATGTAAAGTCTGCAGGCAACTGGCAGGAGCTGACAGCAGCATAGGAGCCACATGGGCCAATGCCACAATTATTCAGATGAGGTAGACAAATAACGTTTGCATTTTATTTCATCTATTTTAGTCCAGGTAGTGAAGGTTGCGGAATCATTTTGCCAGAGACATAAAAAAGGACCAAATAATTCATAGTCCTACACAATTAACATTAACAACCAGTTGAACTTAGATTGCTATAGTATTAACATTTCAGCAACAATCTTATTGCATGAAGCATTTGATCATCTTCATCAATATATATTCTTACTTTTCATAATTCTACTCATGATGGATAACCATTCAACATGCGTTTAAGGTTCTAATTGGGATGACAACAAGTATTTTTAATGGGAATGCATTCCAAATATTCACCTATTTTTGGGAGTAAGGGAGATTTCCTCCTAATCTCTCAAATTACCTAGATGATACTTTTTTGTTTTCTTATGTCTTTTCAGTTCTACATCGAAAATCCACGTTACAACTCATCTCCTTCATGTTATTTAACAATTCTCACCATTATACCTTTGATTGAGCTGATCCTCTTCTTCAATTAAACTCATAACCTAAATGCTTAATTCTTTCAATTCACTTTAGTGTACCAACATTCCTTGAGAATCATGTTTAAAAGAAGAATTTCAAGTATGGCCTCATCAGTGATGTATACAAGCTTACAGTAACATTTCTTATAAGAAAATGTCCTTAATTTGTATCTGAATATGTGCTTTTTTTTAATAGTAGTTGGATTTGAATAATCAATCTGAACTCGTTACATTCATTGCTACGGGCCAACACTTTATTGTGGTTGGTCTATAGTGGCTCATTCAAGAGGATGGGATGTCTCCCAAATGAAATGACTTGGCATTGGCCTTGTGAAACTTTCTGAAATAGAATTATTTGTAATATTGAGGACCCCAGCACAATTTGCGCTGACTTTTGTGGAGGGTGGAATGGTAGTGGTGGAGGTGGGAGAAGATGGAAGTATAATACTGACTGCATCTGAAAAGCTAGACCAGCAATTATCTAGGAGCAGGGAACGAGACAAAATAAAGGAAATAGGGCCCAAAGCTCCTAGTTTTTTTTTATTGTCCATATAGATTTCATCCAAAACAAGGCAAAGGAGGAAGCAGATATTGGCAATGAAAGAAACAGGCCAAAAAAAAGGGAGGCTGCCAGACAAGATGGAAAGAAATTGGTGATAGCAGTGACTGCACTTGCAATCTTAGCCAGCTAGGCTACTCAGTAGTTTAGCAGCATTACCAGGTTAGCCATGGCACAATTAGACAATCACACCTCATGAAAATTAATTGGAATAAACACATTTATCATAGTGCTTGCCTTCTTTGTGATTAACATCATATCTGTCCTATAATGTTTATAAGGTACAATGACAATCTTCACAGCTTTTTCCATTCCCTGAAAGTATGAGGCACAAGCTATATATGTTTATTTGTTTCCTGTATCAGTTACAATCATATTAGGGAGTACTTTGGCCCAAGGGTTTATTTCATAAGATAGCAAACCGAGGACATTAATACACTCTACTTTCATCCTAAAATATCCTAAAATCCAAATGAGGGAAGTGCTCTACGTGGCGGATCCCCAGCTTCTAATCTCTCACCCCTTAAAGGAAGAAGTTTTGAAAGTAGAAGAGAAAAACAATGCAGATAGGGAAATAACAGAAATTGGATAGGATATTTCCCTTCTATGTCTACTAAGTTCCTGTTGCTCAAATGAAATTAGTCACAATATATTAAGTATGTGTCAGATTAAAATTTGGTTGAATATGCCAGACCATTGTATACTAGCAGAAGGACACTGGGAACAGCATCAAGAGGAATGTCTCCTCTCTTCTTCATCACCTTTCTACAGGATTATCAACAGGTCTTTCCTTCCCCAGCACAATTTCTAGACATCAGCTCAGGTGAAGTAGAGAAAGTTGAGTGTAATACATAGGATGATGTCCTGCGTAACAGGGACTAGAGGAGCTAGAGATAGAAGCTAATGAAGTATTTGCTGCTGGAAAGTCAGACACACCAATCAAGAGAGGAATCTCTTGAACCAGATCATAGGTCTGGCATTTCAAAGGTTTTGTACAGTCATCAAATGCCTGCTCTGGTACAGGGGTAAATTGTTTTTGAGACACTCTGATGAATGTGTGTGTAACTCTGCAGTCAATTTAGAAATGTAGAGTACCTGTAAAACAATCTGCAAGTGAGGTCCTTCAACCAGAGGAACGGATGTTAACTTAGTTGCATTTGGCACTGCAGCTCTAACTGCTGCCATATTTGCTGTGAGCATCAGATTGGAGAGGGGTGTGCCTCCATTAAGAGTTCAGTGATTAGATTTTCAAAAAGGTGACTTACATATGTCTCTCAACACGGCCTTTGAGTCAGTGGTACAGTTACTGACACTGACAATGGGCTACTTTTATAGCTATCATACAGCTTAATGGGCTATCATTTGAGCTCCAGGTCCAAGGCACAGTGGCACAGTGAGTAGTACTGATGCCTCACAGTGCCAGGGACCTGGGTTTGATTCCAACCTCAGGTGACTGTCTGTGTGGAGTTTGCACATTCTCCCCATGTCTGCATGGGTTTCCTCTGGGTGCTCCGGTTTCCTCCCACACTTCAAAAGATACGCAGTCAGGTGGATTGGCCATGCTAAATTGCCCATAGTATCTAGGGATGTCCAGGCTAAGTGGATTAGCCATGGGATATGCAGGGATAGGTTGGAGGGGGAATCTGGGTAGAATGCTCTTCTGAGGGTCAGTGTGGACTTGATGGGTTGAATGTGCTTCCGACCAAGGCTAATGTACTGCCACTTGAAATACTGTCTGCAACATCTTCCCTCATCCACTCTCACCTCACACCCACTAACTTCGCACATCATGAACACTGCATGGCCTCTGTGCTACCTATTCACTCGGCACACCACCTTAATCAGCACTAATAGCTGTGTTACCCACTTTCACCTCACTCAATTTCGCCTTTTCTTTCATTCTAGGGGAATAGGGTAGAAAGAGCCTGGATGAGTGGAGAGGTACTGGTCATTCAGCTCCTCAGCCCCAAGAAGGAAGGAATCTTGGCTCTTGGAAAGACTGGGTCTGCTCCTGTGGGGATGCTGAGACATCCATGTACTGCCAAGCAAGTGAGTCTCACTTCGCATTTCACTGCAACTCTCACAATGACCCCCATTGTTACTCTCAATCATTGCACACCACTACTAACCTCTGGCTGTTATAATACAGTGTGGAGCTGGAGGAACACAGCAGGCCAGGTAGCATCAGAGGAACATGAAAGTTGACGTTTCGGGTCAGGACCCTTTTTCAGAATTTTTGAAGGGTCCCGACCCGAAACGTCAACTTTCCTGCTCCTCTGATGTTGCCTGCCCTGCTGTGTTCCTCTAGCTCCACACTGTATTATCTCTGACTCCAGCATCGGCAGTTCTTACTATCTCTAACCTCTGGCTGTGATACCTTCTTTGTGTTTTGTCTCACAGGTTCCACCAGCATCTCCACCGCTGGCAACACAGAGAAACAGCCTATTCCTACAGAAACCACCTCCCTGATGTCTGCGGAGAAGAGTGCCGCTGCCTCAGAGGCAGAATTGGCAAATCTTCCTCTTGCACCATCTATCAGCTCAGATACTGACACTTTGGGTGAGCCTTTGGCAGAGAGTATGCGTACGCAATCTGATGAGCACTTCACAGTGATAACTCCACAACTGGCCAAGGAAGAAACAGCCCCAGCCACTATCTTTGGAGGATTCGGAGGACTGTTGGCGACCAGGCACACAACCAGAGAATGAACCATGCAAAGACCCCTCTCAAGTCACTCTAGAGAAGCTGAGAAATCAATCCAATGACAGAAGATGATGAGACAAAAATCACTTCCTCAACCTGTTTTCAGGGCACTCACACCATCTCCTTCACAGTGAATTATAAGCAGCAAATCATGTAAAATACTTACATAAGGCCCAGAATCCAGAGAATCGGTGTTTACAATAATGGGTGGAGGGTTTGCCTGTCAAAATAACAAACATAACAATTTTAACGATTTCTGCTCTACATCAGGTGATTGCAAATAAATAGAATTCCAATCAGTTGCCTAAGAAAGCAAGCCACATTGGTAATGCATTTAGTGCTGAATTGTACAGCAAATGAGGCACCAAACTAACCAGACAAACAAGCAGAAAGTGGAGAAACTCAGCAAGTTTGGCAGCATCTGTAGGCAAAGCAAAGCTATTGTTTTGAGTCCAGTGACCCTTCGTAAAGAATAATAGTATGGAAGCTTCTGCTGTCTGCTGGCTGTAATGGCTTATAAGGATACATACATCAGCAATCACAATCAGTTCTTAACTGGGCAGGAACCCATAGCACAAAATAACACATAATTTGGCACTACACTGTCAGTTTCACTTTCCTTTTTGGCTAAGTGCCAGTTGTGGTTTTTTTTTGGAGAGATTTCCCCTGCAAGGCCAAATGAGATTTCTTGCTGTGTCTTACCAAACTCATTGCATTAACTGTCTAGCTTATGGATCTTTCCTTTCTGATTCTAGCACCAGCTTACCACACGCCATTCCCAGAACAACTCACCATTCAGTGCATATCTATCAAAAGACCAGCATCCTTGGTGCTTAATCATTTTCAAAGGCTATTGGGCCAATGGGCAAGGGTTGGTAATCTGGCTTTCTCCCTCACTGGCAACATAATGGCAGGTCAGCCACAAAATCATGTATGTTTGGTAAGATAGGAAAGTGAACATTAATTAGGTGAGTTATGCCATTAATGAGATAATTAATAAGCATTAATCCCCCTCTTATGTCAACTTGCCACTGCCTAGTGTGAATGTTTCCTTGCTGCCTGGTAGATGTACAAAAAAAAGTAGCAAGTTGCTCCCAACATTGAGATAGGTCTCATCAGAGTTCTCGTGTGATTCTGCTACATTCCTTACCCGAGTCACATTGTTCAGGCCCTTATAAGATTATGACCCATATGTTTGAGTGGTGCATGAAATGAATGAAGGTCACACTGATAAGTAGCAATTGCTTCTGTGAAGTTGAAGTTTGGGTATTTTTTTGGGATACAGTTAAGTGGCTTTCATTATTCATTTAACTTGTGTTATACCTGCATTGATATGATAAAATAGTGATCAAAATGTTGTTTTTAATTTTCAACAGTCATACCTTATTTTTAATTTTTGACTTTAATTTTAATTTTTGTTTAGGCAAGAAAACAGCAAAACCTGGAAAGAACTGGTTTAAACACATTTTGCATGCCTGAAAAAGAAATTCCAGTTCAGGTCAATAACTTTCCTTCCAAGTCATACTAGTTTTTAACTGATTTTCATTCCTGTAATAACTTTCTGTTTTCATCTCCTGGAATCATTATTTTACTTTTATTTGTTTTGGTACTCTTACACTTCCCTTGCTAGATTTTGAAAATTCTGTGCTTTGTCTGAGTAAAGCCTATTTTCCATCAAGGCAATGTATTACAATACGGAGACAGACAACCAAATCAAATCAGCCTCCCTATTCTTGAATTCACAATAAAGTAAAATTAAAACGTTCAATGACCCTCAAAACTGACCCTAATGGTTTCTCATCAGACCTTTTGAATAATTAGTACCAGACTTCAGGTTTATAGCTTAAATGAAAGTTTAACAATTTATTAGTAATACAGTAGCTATACACAAGCAAAGTTAAACTACAAGGTAATCTAATAAATGTCTATGATAAAAACCCAATTTTCTTTGATTCTAAATTCCACTCACACAAAGCAGACATCAAACACAGTCACAGTTAAAATTAAATGTAAAAAGGAAAAAAAATAGGTGCAACTGACCAGTTCACTTAAGCAGACTCCTTAATCTGTAACATCACGGGGACAAAGGAAACAGGTCAATGACTAACTCTGCCAGAGGATAGATTTTATTGACTAGCTCTCATTGGCTGGTTACTTGCAATTTCCCAGATGGAAGTCAGCCACTGGGCAATTAAATTAGGCAGTTCAGATGCCACCTTTCGGAACTTGCAGTGGCAGAACCTACCAGCAAACTATAAAAGAAGTGTTCTTAAGAGGAGTCATAGCTAGTTGAATGGGAATGTCTAGATACAGGAGGCCCAATGTTTCCTTATTGGTCCTAGAGGAGTTTGCCTTCTTTTGGCCCACAAGAAAACATCATATAAATTTTTAAAATTTACATTACTGGGGCTGTTCTTGTCCTGAAGAAGCTTACAGCAGTATTGGGTTGGTTGTGGGTGTGAATTCTACCAGGTCCTGGTCGGATGGAAGGTAAAAATAGCAGTCAGTCCCAATCCAGCAGTCCAGGCTAATGCTCGAGAACATGAGTTCAAATCTCACCATGGCAGCAGGTTGCATACAATAAAAAAAATCTGGAATTTAAAAAATAACCTGGCCTAGAGGTGACTATTAACCATTGGTGATTGTTTTAAATTAAAACATGTTTGGTTCACTAATGACCTTCATGGAATGAAATTTTCTATCCTTATCTGGTCTGGTCTGTGTGATTCCAGACCCACAGCAATATGATTAACTCTTAACTAATCTCTGGGTAATAAATGCTGGCCTTACTAGTGACACTCACATCCCATGAAAGTAAAAAAAAATGACAGTCTGCAGTGATACGGCAAAAATTTCCTATGTGGTAACTTTCACTTCTATTAAAAAAATCTCTGTTCCAGATTTTACATTCAGGAAGTAGTTGTTACTGACACTGGAACCAAGAAATGAAAAACAATGTATCTTTCTCCACGATGTTTTCTCAAATAAAATGACTTTTTGGCATAATACACAATCCATTGTGCTACTCTCCTGAATTTTGCGGCTATATGCCAGCTTTTAACCTGAATATTAGTCTTTCTGAGGAAGTAGTTCAAAATGAAGTTCTTCTTTTATTAAAATAAAACAACTGTGGATGCTGGAGATCCGAAACAAAAATACAAATTGTTGGAGAAACTCAGCAGGTCTGGTAGATTGATAAGGGGTCACTGGATTCGAAATATTAACTCTGTTTTCTCCTGCAGATGCTGCCAAACCTGCTGAATTTTGCCAGCAGTTTCTATTTTTGTTTCCACTCCCATTCCTTTGCGTTTCAGCCATTGTATTCAAAGCACTGTGCTACAAGACTACATTTCTCCCCTGATGGTTAACCTACCTTCTGCTTTGGCTGCCTGTTGCATTACCTTAGCATTTTCTATTATTTATGAAACGAGAACTATTTTACTTCCCAGCATGGATATATCTCATTCTGATGAGCAAATAAAAAAACACAAAAATATGAACATAATTCTAAAACAGACATTACATACTGCTCAGAACTCCCAGCTGATAAGATGTGTGACCTCATGCATTGTCCCTGTCAATATCTCTCTGTGATGTTTCTTATGGAGATTGAGAAAAACCATAACAACTTTAACATTGAAAATTCACTTCCCACAGGTTTAACTTAAAATTTCTCTTTAGCCCTCTGATCTGGAATGCAACATGAGATAAATCACCCTTAAAATCCAGGAGCTTTCTATTGCTCTATGCCTGATGGAGCAATAATATCCTATATTATCTCACTTATTAACCACATTTTTATAATATCCTGTGACACACATTGGCATAAGCTAATACTCTGCCTCATCATTCTTGTTAATGATCTGTTTATAACAATGTGTATTATCACATATATTAAAAGCGAATTTATAATCTCCTGCATTGTAACACTTATTAATAACCATCAAATATCTATTACTATTACATTTGTTCACAATATCTTTCTACCATCTTGTATAAGAAGATTTATTAAAAACAGTTTTATAATAACTATACAAGGAACAATCATTAATAATAGCTCAATATTGCTCTTTGTCACATCAATTAACCATAACTTCCTGGTCATTCTGTTTTGTTACACTTGTTTTCAATAGTTTTCTGATATTCTGCAATGTCACATATTTAAAATCATAGTGATCTTTATAACTTATTTTGTTAGGAAAGGAGATGGAATAGGTTTTTGGGCCCAATGACATTTCATGATTTAAAAAAATGCATGTTTTTGTGGTACAGCTCACAAAATATTGGTTACACAAGTATACATCAAATAGTTATTTGTCAGTCATCTAATGTTTTGCTCATTGTTTAAAACATTTTATAAAAATACATGTCCCAAACAAAGGTGTTAAAATAAGATCTATTTGGGAAAATTATGAAACACATCTGTAGTGCTAATCTTATCCCGGTTTATAATTTCCTCTGTGACCTTGTTCCAAGTTATCTCAACAACTTGTTTATTTTCTATATTCTCTTGAAATGCCTGGTCCTTTTGCTATGTCCCAGTGTTTCTTAGCTCCCTTCATCTCACTATTGGTACAAGTGTATTAGGCTGATTCAGCTGTCTCTTTGCAAACCTCTTCCTCTTTCAAGGATCACCTCAGGATCTCTCTCTTCAAACAAACTTTAGACCATCTTCCTAATCTCTCAGATCCACCCTGGCATCTGCTCTCTCTGCACTTTTAAAATACAAAAACAGAAAATGCTGGAGAAATTCATCAGGTCTGGTATCATCTGTGGAGAGAGAAACAGAATTAATGTTTTGAGTTTAATGTGACTGTTCAGAAAAATTTGCATTCCTTGACACTTGAAAAAAAGAGAAAAAGTTCCTTGTTAAGGCCTTTCGGTACCTGTTTGTTTCCTCTCCACCTATCCTCTCCTCTATCCCTCTTC